CTGTAGATCCCAAACCTTCAGTTTCTTCAACTTCTGCAGCCCCTGTAGAGCCCAAACCTTCAGTTCCTAGAACTTATGCAGCTCCTGTAGAGCCCAAACCTTCAGTTTCTACAACTTCTGCAGCTCCTGTTGATCCCAAACCTTCAGTTAAAAAACGTGCTGCGTTGTGGTTTGGTGGTTTCTATGCAACGCGGAGTGTTGCGTTCATGGTCTGTACTAGTGTAGGAATTTGGCTACGGGAGGCTGGGCCAGTTGAATAGGCCTGCTCTATTGTATTCTTCCTATGTACAGGTAAGCTGCAGACTCTGCACACTCTGCTGCGAAAGCTGAAGACAGGAAGCCACAGAGTGTTGATCTTCACTCAGATGACGCGCATGTTAGATGTGCTGGAGCAGTTCCTCAACTACCACGGACACATCTACCTGCGTTTGGATGGCAGCACCCGTGTGGAGATGAGACAGGTTAGAACTAATGCTTTGTACCAATAACCATGCTTTGAAAATAAAGTTAGATTTGAAATGTCTCCCATAAGCCACAACAATGTTGTCTTGTTCTTAATATTCTGAAAATCAATAACAACAAAAAATCTATTTAACGCTTCATCAGTCCGGCATCTCTTTTGCTTATTCTCTTTGCATCTTTTTTCTTCTTCCTCAGTCTCTCATGGAGCGCTTCAATGCAGACCGGCGTATTTTCTGCTTCATTTTGTCGACTCGCAGCGGAGGTGTAGGGGTGAATCTGACTGGCGCCGACACAGTCGTCTTCTACGACAGCGACTGGAACCCCACCATGGACGCTCAGGCACAGGACCGCTGCCACCGAATCGGCCAGACCAGAGACGTACATATCTACAGGTAACAGCGTTAAAGTGGTTTTACATGAGCAATACATGCATACAAATGCTTTGTAACAGTGAAAAAAGGAAAGTAGGAAATGTCAAAATATCTTTAAATTCTTTTGACATATGGTTAATTTTAAGAGCGCAGTTCCACTTTCATTTTGACCTTTAACATTTGATTAAACAAGGAAGAATGAAGCAAGCAGAGTTAGGCCCAGTTTACACGGAGACAGAATGGGTGTTATCCGCTACAGTTTTTTATCGTATGGACGGTTCGTTCACACGAGGCCGTAACGGAACCGCAGAAACAGAGCCCTCAAACGAAAACGGGTCCCAAGGTGGCTAGATCTGCCGACGGAACGCTCTGGGGGGTCAAACGGCTCTGTGTGTACGCCCGATACGCCATAGCCCCGCCTCTCCCCACCTCTCCTTCTCACCCCCATCATTGCTGATGTGTTTCGCCAACAACAACAGTGTTCCGAGAGTTTCGAGCCAGGTCCCGGTATCTCGCAGGACAGTGCACCCAGCAGGCGTTAGCCGGTAATTACCGGACTATGACCGGTAAAATATGCTGAAGACCGGCAAATCTAAATCTCTCCGGTCAAAATGTCGCTTATTGTTAAGGTGTCCTTTGACACGCAGGCAGTCATATCATTAGCTAGAACTAGCTAGATCTGATAGATATGGGCATAAACGCGAGTGAAGTCTAATCTGACAGGAGAGAGAGATCAGAGATCGGCAGCTGCTGACGGAGACACGCAGCTCTGCATGATCACCTATAGCTCCGAGTGCACACTTGAACACACTTCAAGTTAGATCATCACACTTAGCTATTTTAATTACTTCTCAAACTACTTAAACTAGCTATAAATATGTTTATTTTTACTGTCGGGTCCCTCATTACTGGATAAGCCAGCTGCATGAGACGGATACTGACGGGCTGTCAGGAGAGGGGGAGGAAAAGAGAGGCTCCGTGTATTATTCTTATATTATTATATAGAGTCATTATTAATTTGTTTTAAAGCTCAATAAATAACAAAGAAGACCTTTGACCGGCACTTTTCTAATTTTGTCCGGAAGATTTAAACTTTAACTGAAACTCTGCCGCACGGTTCCCTCGTCCCTTGGAAGAGGCGGAGAGGTGGGTGTTTTTCATCTGCTGGTGGACTACCGGAGAGAACGTCCTGCTCGGGAGCCAGGCTCAGAGTTAGTGACAGTGGGTGCGGTGCACCTGCCTTTTACAGCAGGAGACACTCGGAGGGAGAAAGAGAAACAGAGGCCGCCGAAACAGCCAGAGCCCTGCCTCTCCCCACCTCTGCTCCTCTACCACAACCATCAGCAACAAGTGGACATGGAGAACTACATGAACTACATGAACTACATGTTGCTAAATCCACCGCGGAGAATAAACAGAAGGGCAGCCAGGCAACCATGGCAACCATGCTCGGTAGGTCTTATTCGCTGCTTTTGGTGTATTTTGTGGCGGAAGTACAGCGCCACTTACAGGCCCGGCATATGTACTACAGCGTCTCCAGCGGGTCGAGCGTTCTCGTGTGGACGGACACGTTTATTGAGCCTATTCCGTTCTGACGGAAGACTTTTTTGTTATCAAATTCTGTTCGTTTTTGTTTCCGTGAGTCTTAATCTATAAAAAAAAAAAAAAACATAGGAAGCTGCGGAGTCAAGTAAGACACCTAGTGGTAAAGTCCAGTGTTTGACTCCTAAACCGGTTTGAGGAATTGTTTTTAGACCTACCCAACCCTACTGCTGAGCCTTCAAGAGATGTTGTAATTCTATTTTCATGAAACAATACTGGGAAGTCCCCACATTCACATTTTCATTATGACAGAAGTTTTGATGCGATTGCAGTGGAAGCACATATTTAGAATCAATAACTCACTGCCCTAAAATTGTCTCAAAACCGTTTGTGTGCGTCAGAAAGTAGCTAGCAGGCCATCATGCACAGAAGGAGTGCTAAACAAATGCAGCCAATGTCAATTATATTACAAGATGTACGATTTGAAAATTTAGGCACATGTGAGTTAGAAATAATTTCAACAGCATATTGATGTTTTCATTTTCATCTTCAGGCTGATCAGCGAGCGAACGGTGGAAGAGAATATTTTGAAGAAGGCAAATCAGAAGAGGATGCTGGGAGATATGGCTATTGAAGGAGGAAACTTTACTACTGCTTTCTTCAAAGAGGTAGAATTTGAACTACAGTACTCTGCAGACACTTACTATTTTGTTTTATTGCCTAACAATACAATGTAAATACATTCCCTCAAGTTTATATATGAAATCCACTTCTGGTAATGGTTGCACATAACGTATAAGTGCAGAGCATGAAGTAAAATTCTCTTCTGTTTAACACCCCGATGATTAAATGATGATTAATCATTGTTTTAAATAAACACAAATATGTAGCACATAATTAAATGTTTGTCATTGCATAAACACACGCTATGCCCTCTTCCCCTTTCATCTAATGTGTTCAGATCTACCTCTTTAGGTGCTGTTTGAAGTAGGGCCACAAAGCAACATTTTGTAATTATGCAACAAATGAGACCATAAGCATAAGTGCTCAGTTTGATTTAATTCCCACAGGACCTAAGCTTTTCAAGTGCCTCCTCATTTCTTTTTTTCATCCAGAGAACCGTCTCCCTAAATTGAATTTTTCTCTTTTTCTCTTTTTCCTCAGCAAACCATCCGAGATCTGTTTGATATGAATGATGGGGAGAAGAGGGAGGCGGCAGTCGAGCTAACAGTGTCGCAACCTGAGGAGGAGGAGGCTGTCAACAAACAGAGCACCACCATTTTGGAGCAGGTTAGATGCATCACATGTTCGCATATATTCAGTATGTAGCACCCAACCCACATTTTTTTTTGGTCATTCAATAAATAAATGAAATAAACACATAGTAAAGTATTTTTTTGTATTATCCTGTGTAATTTTATACACTTGACAAATAAAAGAAACTGATAATTGTTCTCACTTATTAAGGAAATGTAGTGCAAAATCCACATATTGACCTAATCCTCATTTTATACTGTTAAAAAACAATGGTTTTTTCCTAGCCAGTATTGTGTTTATATAACTTGATCATCTTGAAATGATTCTCTTAGGCCCTATGTCGTGCTGAGGATGAGGAGGACATAGTAGCAGCCTCTCAGGCCAAAGCGGAGCAGGTGGCAGAACTTGCAGAGTTCAACGAGAACATACCACTGGATGATGCAGGAGAACAGGAGGAGGTGGAGGAGCTCTCAAAGGCAGAGCAGGAAATTGCTGCTCTGGTGGAGCAGGTGAGTTATCATGGCTGGATGGATAATCTGTTTTTAATAACACAAATAATGTGATAATATGATAAAGTTCCTATACAGAGCTTGATGGAGCATTGTAGTCAGTCAAGATGTTTATCTGCATTATACCTATAGTTATTTTATTCATTGTTTAATCTCCATATGCTCTATATCTAGCTCACCCCGATTGAACGCTATGCCATGAACTTCCTGGAGGCCTCACTAGAAGACGTATGCAAAGAGGAGTTGAAGCAGGCTGAGGTATGTCACAATCTTTACCTTGGTTGTGTTGATTTGAGAAACTATGTCTCATTAGCTCGGATCTAAAAATTAAGTCTAAAATCCAACTGACAAACGTATTCCCAAAGCGCTGTACACATGTCCAAAGAATTCGCTTATAACCTGAATAATATTGGCATATCCTTTATGTCCTTATCGGTAGAATATTATGAACTTAACAATAATACTGGAATATATAATATTTTACGTAAAAATGGTCAGTGACTTAAAAGTATTTAAAAGTAATTTACCGATTTTCTTTTGTCAGTCAATAGTTTTACTTATTTGACCAACCCGGTAGTCCTAGAGAACCAATCAGAGACATTTTATATACGATTTTAAATTAAAAAAAACTAAATTCTAAAAATCTGCCTGTGTCTGTTCAGGAGCAAGTGGAGGCTGCCAGGAAGGGCCTGGACCAGGCCAAGGAGGAAGGCCTAAAGCTCAACGCTTCATCCGATGACGACGACAATGACTCGTCACTGCCAGCTTCTGTGGAGCCTACTCAGCCAGGCCGCCGTGGCCGTAAACCCAAGGAGGCAAGCAAGAACGTCTCCTTTACCAGGACCAGCGGTCGGCTGCGCGGGGCGTCGCCCGAAACTGAGCCTGAAAAGTCACCCACGCCGCCAAAAGAAGTGCCTGAAAGACTGCGTTGTGGTCTGAGACGAGGAGCTGCCAAAGACTCTGATACTGTGTCTACCACACCATCCCACACAGACGATAATAAAACGTCCTCATCAACCAGACTTCAAGATTCCTCTAAATCGTCAAAAGCCTCATCTCCTGCCAGAGATCAACACACAATCAAAACCAGGACTTTGCCGAACCGCTCTCATCCCAGTCCAGTGCCTTCCACTCCAACAAGCTCTCCTCCCACAAGGAAACAACCGTGTCTAGGGGAGACCGACAGCAAGACCTCAAAAGAATGCAGAGAGGAGAAAGAATCGGAGCCATTGCCAGAATCCAGCTTCCCGGTAGACCACGAAGCAAAAGATTATGACACCAAAGACCACAGCGCAATGTCTCCACCCTCCACCAGCTCTCGATCGCCTCGCAAGCGCCAGTCAGCAGACGAAGAAGTCCTGCGCGGCCTTGCCGAAGATTCCCCATCAGCCAAAGTCCTGCGGAAGCTTCCTGGGAGGCTGGTCACGGTGGTGGGGGAGAAGGAGCCACGAAGGAGGAGGCGGCGAGGAAGCGGCACTGGAGCTTCTTCAGAGGAGGCTACCGCAGAGGAGAACCCTCCCGGATCAGTCGAAGAATCAAACTCAAAAGACAACACAAAAGACAATACATCACCAAGCTCCGACAGCAAAACTAAAGGGGCCGTTGCTCAATCTCCACAGGACCAAGACTCTACTGCAAAACCTTCTGTGCACCATCCACCTGTCAGAAGTTACGCTCCATATTCTCCAGCCCATCTTTCTCCTGACATGCCTGTGCTGAGAAATCTTCCTGTACGCCGCAGGTTGGAAACTGAATCTCGCATGGCTGCTCAGCTGGGAGAGCAGCTTTTGAGTCGGGGAAGGGGAGTAAACCAGTCCAGAAAAACTGAAACAACACCAGGCAAAGACACAACCTCTACAGAGTCCAATGTCAATTCTCTTGCGGGAAATTTGAAAAGAAAGAGGGGCCGGCCCCCTAAGACTCCCCCAAGGTTACCTGAGGCTGGCAACACAGTGGCCTCTTCCCCACAGCCCACATCCCAAAGCGAAGAACGGAACCCGCCTAACTCCCCGAAACGTAAGAGGGGGCGTCCTCGCAAAGACTCCACAACCTCGCCAGAAACTATTAGTGAAGAACAGAACTCTAAAAATGAGCCCACTGAAAATGATGCAAGCAAAGAGCCAACAGTACTGTCTCTCAATGTGTCGGAGACACCCATAGCAGATGTTATCACTACAAGTCAGGACTCCCAGTCTACCAAAGCTGAGGAAATGGACACTAAGAGTGAGGTTTCAACCCCTGCTCCAAACCCAGCTCAAGCTCACACAACCACAGATACAGTTTCAAAACCAGCTTTACCCCTATCACCCACTGCACCTGCACCCCTTCCTGTAGCTTCCTCCACACCAGTCTCAGCCCAATTCCTTAATTCAGATCTGACTACAGTTCCAAGCTCAGACACAGCACACCCACAGGTGTCCTCTGTAACACATTCTATTTCTGCTGTTACAACCACCACCCATGAAGCTCCATTAGTACCCACCAATAAGGGTGTAAAACCAACAGCTGCCAATACTCACATACAGCCCAAACCTTCAGTTTCTACAACTCCTAAAGCTCCTGTAGATCCCAAACCTTCAGTTCCTACAACTTCTGCAGCCCCTGTAGATCCCAAACCTTCAGTTCCTACAACTTCTGCAGCCCCTGTAGAGCCCAAACCTTCAGTTCCTACACCTTCTGCAGCTCCTGTAGAGCCCAAACCTTCAGTTCCTACAACTTCTGCAGCTCCTGTAGAGCCCAAACCTTCAGTTCCTACAACTTTTAAAGGTCAAGTAGAGCCCAAACTTTCAGTTTCTACAACTTCTAAAGCTTGTAAAGAGCCCATTCATTCACCTATTACAAATTCACAAGCTCTTGTAGAGCCTGAAATTGCACATAATACAACTTCCAAAGCTTCTGTAGAGCCTAAACAATCAGTTTATTCAACAACTGTGAAAACAACAGACCCAGGCTCCGCTAAAACCACCACAGTAGCGCCACCAGCTGCTAGCACTCCATTGACTTTACCCTCTTCCATGATGGCTGTCAAAGCTGTTCCAACATCAATCCCTGCCACAGCAACCGCTAATAAGGTCATATCAGAAACAGTCAGAATTACTTCACCAGTCACTACAGTAAAATCAGCCACATCTAAAAATACAGCTGTAAAGGACTTGCCACAGGCCTCCTCTCTTTCATCCACAACATCGACCCCAGCTGTTGTAACCTCCACCCCACCTACAGCTTCACCAAAACCCACTTCGACATCTTCCCCCGCTTCAGCAACAACCACATTAACAGTAGAATCAGTCCAAGCTAGTCCATCAGACGCTAGCACAGTTTCCACAGAAAATCCAACAACGCCTGCTTCTAGAATACCATCAGAATCATCTGTGTCATCGTCTGCTGCAAATACAGTTCCATCTTCTCCAAGGACTAATTTGACACCAACCAAACCAGACTCGACCATTGCTCCGACACATGAAGGTGGCTACATAAAATGTCCTCCTCCAACAACAACAACATCTACTACTGTAACTACCACAGCCAAGGAGAAGGCCGTGGCAGTTACAGAGAAAACAGAGAAAGTCCAAGTCACCACCCCTTTAGAAACAGCATCCCCTTCCAATGAACAAACAACTGCAGAAAAGACTGTCAAGATCCCATCTCCCGTGACAACTTCTACACCAGCTCCATTACCAACAGTTACCACAACTACATCACCCCCAGAAAAGTCCATGACAGTTTCTACCACAAACATCAAAAATACTCAAGTGTCCTCTACTATAGTTAACCCAACAAATACAGTTCCCGTGTCCACCACACAAACGACTCCAGATGTTTCCCTGCAAGTACAAAGCTCTGCATCCAGTGAGGTACCAACACCTGCTCCCTCTAGTGTTACATCTGAGAAACAATCACTAAAACACAAAGCACCTGCGTCTAAAAGTGACCCAGACGGGTTGGAAGAAGTAGGTAAAACAGAAGCTGAGGCAAAAGCGAGCAAGGAGGAGGATCAAGATGAAGAAACAGACATCCGTAAGTCTCAGCGTAAAAGGAGGAAGGTGGAGAGTTCGTCTGGGGCCAAAGACTTTGAGTCGTCAAGGAAGGGGACTCTGCGTGGATCTGCCGCTCAGAAAGAAGAACCTAAGCAGAAAGGGTCAGAGCAAACTCCAATCCAAAAAAGGCCTCTTAGCCGCCAGAGTAGCCAGGACTCTGCTCGCTCCTCTTCTTCATCATCTGGGTGCTCAACCCTAACTCGTCAAGCTCACCACAAGAGGACTTACGAGAATAGACTTCCTACCAAGAAGAGGCGCATGGATGTCACCTCAGAAACAGGGAACGAGGAGAATAACAAAGAAGATAAGAAGCACACCTCTCGGGGAAGGCGTTCCAGGTCTTCTTCTTCCTCGGACTCTGACACCAGCGAGCACAGAGAAGAGCATCGGTTAACACGCTCAGCTAAACACAGGCTGCAGGAGAGGGAGAAGGGAAACAGCCGACAAGGAAAGAAACCCGACAGGAGTGCATCAAACAATACCAACGCATCCACAGGTGGAGAGTCCGGCAGTGATACGTCTTCTGTCGGGATCACCAGAAAGTCTGCAGGATCTAAGCCCTCGCAAGAAAGTAAAGCTCAAACAAACAGCGCGCCCTTGATTCCTCCTGAGCCTGAAGTCCTTGGGAAGAGGTGCTCGGCTCTCAATGCTGCAGCCAAGCTCCTGGCAATGAAAGGCAGGGTGGATACCCCTGGCCACACCACTCGGAAAGACTCTGGTGCTAAGGCTGCTGGGACTTCCCCTGCCTCTTCTGACAAGAACCAAAAGCCTAAAAGCAAAAGTGTTCCAGCCTCCCCTCAGAGTAACTCTTTAAATCTTAGTAATAATAAAAGCAGTTGCAGCAAAACTTTAACACCCAACCAGACAAGCCACTCTGCTTCCCGCTCAACTAGGCAGCGCCCCGGTTCTCTGGTTCCACCCCTGGAAGTGGAGCACAAGAGGTCTAAGGCAGATGAAAAAGACAGGGGGGCTAGAAGGTCTTCAAGGATCAAGGAAGGCGAGGCAGAGGCGCTGTCTTCCTCCCGAGGCCACAGTGCCTGCAGCAGCGTGAGCAGTGACGGCGAGGGCGACGCTGGCGGACGCAGCAGCAGGAGCCGCAGCAGCAGCAGCAGCAGCAGCAGCAGCAGCAACAGCAGCAACAGCAGCCAGCGGACCCGCAGCATCAGCTCTCAAAACACGGAGCGCCGAGAGTCCCGCGCCACTTCCTCCGGCAGCGAGCGAGAGAGGGATCGCAGCTCCGAGAGCAGAGACAAAAGAGACAGGCACCGCAGGGAGAGCCTGAGGTCGCATAAGCTCACGCAGGAGGTGACCAGCAGTTCGGGAGCAGAGGGGACTCCGGACCGGGTCCTGCGGAGCGTCGCGGCCCTTGCAGCGGTGCAGGCCCGGTCACCGGCCGCAAGCACCCGCTCCTCGTTTGGTCACCACCGTCACAACAAGACATGATCAGAGTGCCAAAGGGAAAAAATAAAAGCTAGAGCACGATATGAGAGCACGATATGAGGGCACGTCATGACCTCCAAGGTTGCTGCTTTGTGTGCACTCTTAATGAATGCAGGGGAACTGAGTGCTGCACAAGCCAGGGACCTCCCTGCCTCTTGGGCCCTCTCCCTTTCCAATTTGGAGCTGGCCGACTCAGCAGCTCAGCTGGGGGAAGGCTCAGGGAATGCCGGACTGAGAGTTAAAAAAAAATGTGGCGCCATTGTTGTGCGTCCGTAAACAGACAGAGAGATGGTGCAGTGGATAAGTCGCCGCTGGGACTTGAGAGGGACAAAGGTGCAAGAGATGATAAAGGAAAGCTGTTAGTTCACATTATGTACTGTAATCATTAAAGACTGGAACACTCAGATCTTATTTGTTAAGATGGGATTATACAGCACCCTCTATCAGGGTCATAAATGGTAAGTCATTTGTGTGACATTAAAATCTTACGAGTGACCAGTTGTATTGTAAGTTGGAGGTTTTAGAGAGTTTGGTTTTTCAAATTTTGTCCGCTGTCCTGACTATTGTTTCTTTGTAGTCAGTTGATAAGTTATGCATATTTTATTATTTCTTCCAGGCTTAGGAAGAGACCAGATCTTTCAATGTGATCTTTGCTGCACTATGCTGGAGCTTGTCTTTTGCTTGGGCCCTTTCTTTTTGTCATGTCAGTTTCTGTTCATTGGATTCCTTTTTAAATCCAGCCTTGCATTTCTCATTTGCACATTTTTTTTTTTGAATACATTGTGGTGTAATACGTTTTTACATCAACTGCAGTCTATAATTGGTTCCATGTACCTCACGATGTATCTCTACAGTTTGAACATGTATTAATTGAAGCTGCAGCTTGGCTTGAACAGACCTGGAGCAACAAAAATTAAATTTCTTTTTTCTAATCTTCCTAAAGGCAGTTATAGTTATGGTCCACTTTTGTCATGTATTAATATCAAAAGGGCAAGTCAATGTTATTAAAATGAAGAGTGCCTCTTTGGCCAAATGGGTTAGAACCTCAGATTGCCTTGTGAAGCACCTGAAGCAAGGGTGTCATGCTTATTACAAAAAAAAATGTAAAAGCCAAACAAAAAGGATACAACTCGAGAACATCAAAAAAGCACCCTGAGCGTCAGTGCTACCAAATTAATGTTTTACTTTTCACCTGAATTTATTTGTCACCATCACTTCATTGCTCTTCTTTCATGTAAAAAAAAAATATATATTACTTGGACAAAATATGTGAATAAAAATGACTGGTACAGTTCCAGATGACTGTAAACTGTCAATTTCCTTTTGGACATGTCGAAGATATTGAGCAAAAGTTGATATTTGGGAAGGGGGGGGGGTGGATTGGGTTGTAGTCTATGGTGATGGTCTTATTTTTTATTTGTCTCTTTATTTGTTGCATTCCTTTTGATCCCTTGTAATTCCACATTGTTTTACTTGAAAAATTAAGACAATTACAGTTGAATAAAAAGACCAAAAATTAGTTGGAATTTTTCATTGTGTTCAGGATTGTTTAATGGTGGATAAATTACAGGTTTGTGTCATACTGCTATATTTAATATGTACACCTAGTTACTGTTAGACAAATACTTATTTTCAATTGTCTGTAACAGCCAATGTGTGAACAAAAAAAGTTATGATGCAAGACAAACAGAACAATATACCATGGCAGTATTTTATTTTTAAAAACAAACCTAAAATAAGTCAACCGTAACACTTGGACAACCTTTACAAAATAGTGTGGTGCACACTAGTCATCATTTGTCTCGTTGAATAAAACCAATGTTCCAGGATTTTCCTCCCAGAATACACTACAATGACAAGAGAGACTGCACAATGTGACAAACGGGTGAATACAAAAGTGTGACTTTGTGTCAGACTAAACCATGACATTTAAACAAACATAAAACCTCACTATCCCTTCTTGACAATATTGTAGCACATTCTCACATGATCATGCATTAAGGTGAAGGCACAGTTTTGAAAAAATACAAAGTTTTAATCGTGTGGTTGCAGCATCTTACAACATTTTAAATCATAAATACATACTGGTAGGACAAATAAAAGTGGGCCTCCTATTGCAGTGCTGAGACACCTAAATCAAAGAGGGCTGGTTTGTTTTTAGACCCTAAAAAAGAAAAATCTGTATTTACAATCGTTACATGTAGGCAGTTTGAAATAACTTTCAAGTCTTAAAAAAATCATCTCAAAGAATGTCATTCACCAGCATTATAGGTTATGTACAATTATATTAGTCTATTAAAACTGTTTCTTTACTCCCAATTCATCCAGAAACGTTGTAACAAGAATCAACGCACAGTTTCCTGAGTACAGTGCGGGGTTTCAACACTGCTTTGCTCAAGGCCACATTTCCTCATTTTTATGAAAGAGGGGAAGAGGCACTGACATAACAGCTCACAAATCGTCCTGGTGTTTGTGTCGCAGATTCTGAAGGGGGGGGATTTCCATTAGACCAGCAGCACTGCCTCTTGAGTTGAAGTGGAAATGCAGGTGAGATTGTAGTGAGTTAAAAACACATCTCTTCTTAAAAAAAAAAAGAACTGTCTGGACCAAAGAAAAGTAAATGGAAGATGAATATGAAGTGTGGAAAAAAAGCCCGGTTGACAACGGAATAAATCTAGCCGGATTTTTGTGCTTCTGCTAAATCAAGTCTACAGCCAACTGCCTGGTGTTAGGTGCCGAAGGCAGAGACCAATGCGATGACTAGGATGAGGATGAGGATAGCCAAACAGATCGCTATCCAGAGCTTTTTCTGCATGGGGAGAGAGAAATAGATTAATTAGGTGCAACAAAGGGACACTTCTCCCCAAAATCAAAAATACATAATTTTTCTACTACCTGTAGTGATATTTATTATTGTTCAGTGTTGGAGATATCAGCCCTAGAGGTGTCTGCCCTCTTTAAAATATATTGGATATAATAGCACTTGGCCTGTGGTCAAAGCCCCCAAAAATATATAGAAATTCAAGCAGCATTGTCTCTTTTCAGAAATCATGACTGTTGCACAACATAATTTAAATATTTTAGAAATGTTATAGATTCTTATATTTACAATTACACCCATGAGCAGTTTCATGTAGGAACTTTTTTTTCTTCTACCAAACTACACCTGTCAACAAGTGCACACGAGTCTGCTTCCTTGTGCACGGTGATACGGTTGGCGGGTGTAGTGCGGAAAATAGTTCCTACAGGAAACTGCTTTAGTGACCCGGTCATGATTTCTGGAAAATGTCAAGAGAAGGCAGACATCTCTATGGCCAGTCTGCCAGCATTGGCCAAAAGATGTATAAATAGCACTACAGCTAGGATAAAATATATATATTTTGATTTAGGAACTGTCCTTTTAAAGGCGCATTGTAACAGGACGTTAGGGCAGGACATAACACACAAAGGGATTATTGCTTACTTTTAAAGTGTCCATATCATGTGTCTTAAAGATGTATACTGTACCTTGCGTGATTTCTGCTGATATGTGACTGCTTTCTCAGTGTTTTCCTTGGCTCTCACCACGTAGTCCGTCGACTGTTTAATGTTGTGCTCAACCCGGTTCACCATCTCCCCCTGCAGAAGGGAAGACATCATTAATTCTCTTTGTCACCCAGATCAAAAGCTGGATTTTGACGTTGTGCGCGCTGCTCTACCTGAGCCTCCACCTCCATGGCCAGATACTGGAACATGTCGTGCAGCTCTCTGATGCTCTGCTCCAGCTTCAGGATCTCGTCGTGCCGGGTCTCGATCTCATTCAGAGCCTGTCTCGTGGCTTTAGCATCGCTCATGATCTAAAGATTTGTATTAGTTATTAAGAATAGCTGCAGCAAGTCATGAGGTTTCAGGGTTTTCAGCATTCTTTACACTACGATCTAGCGGAACTGATCACTAATGGCTTCACTAGGATGTCTTTCTTTGCTTACCAGATCTGCTGTCCAGTTTGAGCGATTAGAGACAACAGAGCACATCTGTCATCATTTCATACATGACACTTAAAGTCACGTCTACTCCCTGTGAATGTGTTTTGCTTCAGCAGAGGGGTTGTGGTTTCCAACATCAGGTATTTGACACTTCTTTCATCTTGCCACATACTCACATTTTGAGTGAAAACATCCGTGTGCCCACTCTCGAGCATCGCGTCCAGCTCTTCATCTGTCACGTCCTTCCCAGCTGAAAGGTAAAAGCACATCAGGATGTTGTGGTTGGGTGAGGAGAGAAAATGAAAATACAAAAACTCTCACATGAGTTTTGTTTTTTATAAAGGAAACCACCTGGCAGTCTTATGTAGAGCTTGTAAAGAATGTTTTTTTCTCAGTTGTTGCTACTACTATGTAGGGATGCAATTAAGAGTCAAGTATTTTCGTTGGTGATTATTTTGTCTAATATAATAAAAGCATAAAATGGCCCCTTTAAAAATATCCAACAGGAACACGGTGACTTTGTCTGACTAACAGTAAGAAGAAACAAATATTCAATTTACCGTAATGACAAAAAGCTAATATTTGGTATATCTGCTTGGAAAATGACTAAAACGATTAACCAATGATCCAAATATTTGCAGATTTATTTTCTTTCAAACAACTTATCAAATAAACCTGTCATCTAAATAGAGGTCGCTTTATACAAAAATTATGAATGATAAAATAGCTGCGACAATATTAAATACGTCTTCAAAAAGAGCAGTCATAATATAAACAACATTATAGTGATATCAATAATTGATTGCATTGTTATACCGTGCTTATGAATGATGATATGGCGGTTTAAAAGCAGAAAGTGACAGAGAGAGGAGATGACACATGGTCATGGGACAGAGAAGCAGGAAGTGGTCACAGCAGTGAGGTCCACCACACACACCCTGTGCTGTACTCACTGATTTTCAGCTGCCGGTGTATCCTCTCCACGTTGCGGTCCCTGTACTGCGCCTGGATGGTGTTACAGCGACCCATCTCCTCCACAAACTCCCTGGACAGGACTCCGTGCTGCAGAGGAGGAAACACTTTGGTCACTTTAACGCTCATTATTGATAGATCTTATACACATTTGTGGGAATTTTAAATGATATCCAACCTGGGTCCGTTGCATCCGGGAGTTTATGGGTACATATTTTCCATCCTCCTCTCCTTTCTTCGGTTCAATACCTGTAGAGATATTTCATAAGTATCATTAATGTACACAAAACTAAAGAGTGTTCTAGAGAGGCACCAATCACTGCATTTCCATTTTAATTTAAAACTGCAACTACTTTGCACACTTGCATAATGTATAAATTATCAACTGTTTTTATTTTTTTTGTAGAAGTTTGGTCTTTTAGTGTGTATTCTAACTTACTCTGTATATGTTATGTTGTGTATTCCACTGATATGTATATATTTACGGTTTGTTTATTTATCTTTTAAACTCTAAATTCCTTAACATGCTGCAGTAACAAAAAAAATGTCCTTACTTCATATCAGTCAGCTATTAGGATTTCACAGCCACACACACACAAAGTGGTAACAACTGGGCTTATTTTCCACTAGCTTTAGCAACTTTTAAGACCATCTTGGCAGCTTAATTCCTAAAAAGCAACTTAAAGAACATCAGAAAAAAACAAGAAATATGTTATACAATCATTAAATTCCCCTAGCCTATCAGAGCACTTGCGGTGACTCGACTCTTCATCAAACAGGTCATAATCTCACAAAATGAACATAAGTGTATTGACTTGTTATCCGCCAATACTCACTCTTCAGTTTTCTCTGAATCTGACCCGCCAACGTTTTGATCTCCTCTCGAAGAGTCTGCAGCTCTCTCTTCTTACCTGAGGAAAACATCAACAGATAATGTGAACCCTCTGAGTGGTGACACTTAAGACGAGAGATTCAGAAAAATATGTGGATTTAAGAATACCTTTATCTGTCAAAAAGATATTGTTCACCCAACAGTAAAAGATTTTCAAAAATGTGGTGACTTTATGTTTTGCCTTTACAGAAATAGTCAGTACCCAAATCTGTACAGACTGATGGCATGGACAAACACACTTACTGTCGTCCGGCAGCGGCTCGCCCAGCACAGCTTTCTGTTTGTTCTCCAGCTTAGACACCATCTGTTTGAGGCTGTTCAGCCCTTCGTGAATTTCTTGAACCTGAGATTAGGAAACAAGGCAGAAGCACTGTTAACATGTGCATTTAGTTGTAGGGGAAACAGATCCACATGAAGTTTAATTGATCGATTCATTGGTGAATTCATTTGTCAAGCAAATATGCCAGAAATGCTGTGGTTCCATTCTTTGAAAAGAAAGGATATTGCTGCTTTTCCTTTCTAATTGATTATTTTTATATAGTGGACCGCTGGGGGGATAAAAAAAGCATGATGTTTTTGTTCAGGGTATATGCAGGAATCCTGAAGTCAAATGTAATACCTTACAAGACCTTTTTCAAGACCCTTTCCATACATTTCAAGACCTCATCACCACTTTGAGTTTTAGCCGGTTACATTGGTGACACACTTTAATATATACAGTATTGATTGTCCTTCCTCCTTATCTTCCAAGCTATGTGACCATTTATTCAACCTACAGTGGACATTCCTCAGTTAAACAATGTAAACAATCATTAATCTTTTAATGTTTAAACCTTTTTTTTTTTACAACTATTATTTCAGGCATAGACTGAAAGACAAGAACAATGAATCCTAGGAAAACTCCTTGGGACCTTTTACCTTGCAAATATTTATCTTTTTATTTTACAACATTTTCTAAACTAAATTATATTATTATTTAATAGATCAAATAATAAATAATTATTTGTAGGTCTAGGTACAGTACCAGTGTCTTATCTTGTTTTCTTTCAATGTATTATATATTTTGAGAAACAATAAACGATTTCTGATTTTTATTTGGAAAAATATATTTTTGTTTAAGTTGCTTATTTTTTTATTACAAATGATATCTAGCAACTTCTATGTCATTTGGTTTATATCTGTGACAGTTCATCAATACAACTTTAGAATGATTTTATATAAATGTACATATCATATTCTTTGGGTCAATTAAAATGTAAACAAAGACACATTTAAACATCTGTGTAAGTGTATAATTGAAGACTTATAGAACTAGAACTTGAGGCAACAATGAAAGAGAAGAACATGATCTTATCTGATCTGTCTGCTCTTCTCGGATTAATATCAATATGTAGACAAACTTTACCTTTTTAAAGAATGCATCGTTCTCCTTCTCCTCTTTGGCTGAAGAGGTTCCAGGTTTGATCACAAGAGCTTTTGCCTCCTCGTCCTCATCTGAAGCCTCTGCCTTCTATAAGTCAGATAACAGACAAATGAATTAACACAATGAAAATGAAGATATTTCCATTTTAAAGCATAAAAACAAACGTCAGCACCCCCCGCTGCCATGCCCTTTCCCGGCCTGGCATACCCTTTAAGAAGACAGGGCTGGAGCGGAAGTTGGGAGTAAATTGTCTCGAAAGTTAACATTCACACACGTAAAACGCTCCACATTGTTATTTTAATCATGTTTGGTGTTGTATCCTCTCATTACAAGCTGTGCAGGTTGAACAGTGAAGTGAGCACCTATTAACAAACTGTTTTCACTTTGCTAAATTAGCAGGCTAGCGTGTGAATGCTAAAGTTAGCCGTGTACTCACATTTCCTAACTCTTTAGTCCGGTCCCGCATTTTTTCAGAGAGTCAGATGTCAGAAAAGCTGCGACTCCACGCGGAAGTATGGTAGGTTGTTCCCAAGCAGAGAAAGAAACTCTAACCGAAACTGGAAACTTTGATCTAGTGTCATTCACCAAGAAAACTACAGTAGCAACCCTTCTTCTTCTGGTGCTAGTCAAAACATCATACGAGGACTCATTGACGCCCTCTGTGAGAGCAGATTGCAACAGCACTGAGTCATGATTTGCATTTGAATTATTACAATTATTATGTTTTTTTCTTGTTTTTGTCACAACCAATCGAATAGAGAGACCCCACAAATATAAACCAATTACAGAACTAAAACATCACATTTTTTAATGCATTTTTTGTATACAAAAAATGCATTAAAAAATGTGTAAAAGGAACTGCAAGAGGGTTTCCATGTCTTTGTATATTTCCAAAATAGGTACATTAAGGAATAATGTAATTTACTGCTAACAAAATAAAAAAGTATTAACTTATCTCTTATCTAAACATTTTTGACTATTTAATTTTTATTTAATTTTACGTTATAAAAACTACTCATTGCCTACTAATGTGACTAATGCCTAATGTGACTTAAGTTTTTCATTGCCATATCAACACTGTAGCTAATGTGCACATGACAATAAAGCCTTCAATCTTCAATCTTGAAATCACCACACCCTTCCATGCCTGACAAAGTCTTTTTAGAAAAACAACACTGTGGGATCATTTATGTTTGGATGATGTAGTGAATAAAACAAATGAACATAGATACTTCTGTGCGGGTAGATTTAAACATAGTCATTTCCTGCATCATCACTGCTGCTCCTGGAGATCAGTCATATGAAACCACTCAGTTGCTGCCATTTCTCTGACAGCCACAAGATGGTGCTGTTTGCCTGCAGAAACTGTATAACTGCACCAACCATCACATCCAACAAGCTGTTTCCACCACAGAAAGAGTTAACTATACTTTAAAAAATCTGTCATCAAAACTGAACTTAAATTCAAATAAACACCTTCATGACTAAAACAGCCATTATGGAGAATTAACAATGTCTTTATGAATATTCACGCCTACTGACAATTCCTTTTCGCGAGCTATAAATAGTCCTATTGGAGACTGATAAGGCTAATTATGTGGTATTTAAAATACAGCCTTCAGATAATAAACCTGCAAAAATAAACAGTTCAGATGACTATTGTATACCTAAAATGTCCTTCATTCTTCATTACAGCAAGAACTCGTATCAATTTAAAGTGATGTGGCTTTAAAAAAGGAAATTATTTAATGGGTTTCAAAGGATTTATTAACAAGCTGATTCGGAGGCACCAATTATGGGATTTTTCAATATCTTGTGCAAAGCTTACAGGGCTCTATGATTGTCCTTGACCCTTTACTGATGACCTATATTCAATGTGACAATTAGAAAATCTATTACTTTAATCCTTACTTCCTGTATTTAATTACTCTGCTGGCCTGGTTTAACATCCCATTGTCAAATTGTGACCTGTCCCCTCGTCACGAACAGCCTCAGTGTGGACATTGATAGCATTTCAATTAAAGCTTGATTATTCCTTTTCTTATTATTTGACGTATTTTTTTTTTAATGCTTTATATTTTTGTGTTTCATAATGGCTGTCTTTGCGTTTATTGAAACACTTTTAGGCAAATGGCTTTATTTTAGGAAACAGGAAAGGATTTCTGATATCACCTTAATCATTTATAATAATAATATAATAAAAACACACAACAATTGGAAATGCATTGATTTGTAATGTCAAAAGTGATGCTGTATTTCGGAAATATTCATTTAAAAAAAAAAAAAAGTTATATTTTATAAGAATGTCACTAAAATCAGTGTAAATGGCAGAAATAGCAATATTTTTTTAAATGCATGTACATTCTGAATGAATACACAGAGTCTAGAGTATTGCGCACTTAGATATTGCAGTTAGTTTAGCACAGTTTATATACAAACACAGTATGGGGTGATAACTGCTAAATTAATAAAGATATAGCTGGGAAAAAATATTTGAAAAAAAAACTGTGAAATAAAAGATGAAATCATCCTTTGTGGCTTTGAATGGAGCTCTAACTCAACTACACTTCCCATAGTGCACCGGTGGTGATCGTCGTGTCGCCAGCGAGCTGTCAGTGTTGGGGGAGAGAGGAATTGGTCCAGCATCTCTGGAGCGGCGGAGAGGAGCGGAGAACAGAGACACATCAGCTAAAATGACGAGATTTTAGCTCAATGTTCCCCACACTGGATGTTCAAAGCGTGGATGTTTAAAAACTGACCCTTCCCGTCTGCCGTAGATCAGCGCGGAGATCTGACTTCATTCTATCAATGAGAGATATGTGGAGTGGCTCTACCGCCCGGTGTTAACACAGAAAAACACAAGATGAAGAAGCAGTTCAACCGAATGAGACAGCTCGCCAACCAAACAGTGGGCAGGTAAGAGCAGAATCTGAGAAAACGCGTTTATGTGCACGACATCTTGCTTTGTAATTTGCCCTGACACAAAACAGCAAAAGCAGGTATTCATCGGCTGTGTTCGGCTGCCAGCTTGACGTTCACTCGATGGGATTGTGCTGCTCAGCTGGTTTGATTTGCACAAAGCATTAACTGTCAGTGGAGGTCACAGTTGCAGTGTTGTGTGATTGATTGATCCCAGCAGGGGAGGAGCGTATCCGCACACATGATGAGGGAGCGGACATGGTACCCAGGGAGCAGGGCTGCTGCTGCCCACTGACCGGTAAAAGCATCGCACAGGGCGGCCACCGGGCACCCTGCAGCGGCGAGTCAGGGCACCCTCTTACACTAACATGTCTGCAGTGACATCATGTCATTTGTTCCCATTATTTTAACAAATAGCCGTTTTGCCTTTATTTGTTGTAAGTGTTAGAGAGGTTAGAGAGGTTAGAGAGGATGATCGTGGCATCCCATTAATTTGGATGTTCACGTTCAAAAAAGAACATTGAGTAAAGATGAGCACTGAACATGATACGTATCTTTAGATGTCATCTGCAAAAGTATGATATATCTGGCTTAATGGAAACATATAAATGTTAAGAGACCCAATGATTGAGCCGTGGGGAACTCCATGAAATAGTAATAATTCCAATAAAATCTGGTCACTCTGCACACACTGTATGATTGCAGATAGTGAGAATTCAGAACGTTTTTCGGATCTGTCGTCAAAGTGTCCTCATTTTTTCTTTTGTTTTTAATGTTTAAGTTAATCTCAACCCAGCGGTGAGTCACGGTTTTTGTAACTTTAAACCAAAAATATTTGTGTTAAGGTGTAGGACAACCTTTTACCCCACCAATGCAATGCAAGTTTTACCATGATGGTTGAAAGCATTGTAGTGATCCAATACATTCCATATGTTAAATACCCACTGATTTATGCTGTTTGGTGTCAAGCTCCAGAAAAGCCTTTTTTAATCATTGAAATTAAATTCCTATTTAGCGCTTTGCATACTGTGCCATTTAAACATAGTAACATGTCAGGGTTGATGAATGTAGATGTGTTTAATCCTTGTAAATCCTCAGAGCATGAAGCTGCATCAGAAATATGCAAACGTTTGTGCTTGGGTTTTTGTGATTTATTCATTTTCACTGTGCCTGTTTCCCCCTGCTAAGCTTGATGCTGCAAATAGACCTTTGTTTGTTGATCCTAGTTACGACCTGAGGCTTGGTAAATAGTCCCAAAACACATGACCCATTTTGGGTATATCTTTACTATGAAACTACCCACAAGTGAATAGCAGTTTTCTGTCAGGGACTCACTGGGGTTTTGCTTTTTTGAGCCTGTATGTCAGGTGTATCCAGGGAGAAATTGAAGAGGTGTAGCTGCAGCCTGGATCTCAATAGGTATTGTTTTGTCTTCTATTTGTCAACCACACCCTATAGCTTGTAACTGAAGCCAATGTCATGATATGTCAACACTGTGCCTTTGGCAATTTGGATCGAGTGTTGTTTAATTGTTGCGCAACCTTAAAACAGAATCATTGTTGAAGCTCAATCAAGGTCTACCTTAAGTACACGTCAAATCTGAAAACAGGTTGATTTGTAGCCTGTCAGTTCCTTGAAACTTGCCCCAGGTTCATTCTAAAGCAAGTGCACGATAACCTGTTTGTTTTGCTTAGCTAACGGCAGTAACTGACGACGCTGGCACACCGAAAGGATTTTGTGTCAAGCTATGTTGTACTCGCTCACCCAGACTGCAGGCAGAGGTGCTGATACTAATCAATGAAAAGGGTATTACTGCAGCTAATGCCCAACAGAGTGGACTTGGCAGATGTTTCAGAAATCCCTGGAGGAAATGTACCCATTGCTAAAAGAGATTCTGGAAGGAAGCTTTTCTTGAGCTGGAAGGGACAAAACCCCTCAAATTATTTAGGCAAACATAAAAACATGAGTGAGTGTGTGCAAGGCCAGGTGGTTGTTTATTTCCCCTCCTCTGTGAGAGAGCCGGAGCACCAGAGCCCAGTGAGGTGGAACATCCTGGTAATGAGTTCTAACCTGTATCATAAGAAGCAGAACAGCAGGGGCAATTAGTCATATTTAGAGGGCAGAGACTCCAACATGACGCCTCGCTGCTAGCCACACAGGTAATTGGTGACTTGTAGCAAAAGGAAATGAAATCCAAAGTTTGGAAATATTTGATGTGCTTTATCTATTTTATGTGCCTTTCTTCAGCATTAGAGAGACATTTGGAGCTTGTAATGTGCCCATCTGCCTTCAAAGTGTTACTCTGTGCCGGAAACACGCACATGAGCATCCTGAAACGAATGAAGCATCTCCCTTCAAGAGGACATTGCTGCATCGCTCCAGTTGAAGATATAGGTCAGGAGAGGTTCAGACAAAGTTAAATTCATCTCTAAAACAGTCGCCATTAATCCTGCGTAAAACTGTGTGACTGAATGAGAATGTGCAACTCTGAGAGCACTGCGAGGTTACGGCAGGAAGGGGACAGACCTAATCTTCTCTTGGCTCTGTCCCTTCTACAGCAGAGTATTTTCAAATCATCTTCTCATTCACATTTATTTTTGTGTCGGCGATAAACGAAAGAGGCTGGTTATTTGACTTGTGGACAGGAACGTCCTTTTAATAAAAACATGGAAAGAAGAAAATAGATTTTTTTCCAGGCTCTGCAAAAGAAGCTGATGAATGTCAATGTGAGATAAAACAGAAAGCAGAGAGAAATCTATTAACGAGATGTTGGGAAATGGATTTCTAATCAACAGGCTGGGAAATTGTTTCTTTTGTCAGTTTGGAGGCTGAGAGCGACAAGACCCGAGAACATATTTTTTATATTTGGTCCTTAAGCCATTACCAACTGTCAGTCTGTAAGCTCTCATGATTGAAGACAGTAAATTGCATGGCTGAAAAAAAGGCATACCCTTAATGGCTTCATTCTTTTTTGGTTATTCCCTTCATGCATTACTGTGTCCCTTTTCATATTCTGGGCTGCTGTGTGATTGATGCATGGACCTGTAACTGATGATTCTTGTTGTTTGTGTGGGGTTGACGCTGGACTTTGTTGCTCTGTTGGTCTCCCTTCAATAAAACCAGAAGAATAACTTGTGAAACCACGGTCAGGCTTTATTGGATATTGTGACAGCAGCGGGGGGAAGGCGGGATGTGTTGCCCTGCAGTGCCCACACCTCCGCTCTTGCCTGTTACAAAGTTATATCTGTTGTACTGCTCGGAGCACAAAGCTGAGCAATTGGATGCTGTGATTCATGGAGGAAGTAACAAAGTAAAGGTATTAAGATCCCCGTTTCAAATGATATGATGCCCCGAGGTGAACACATCTGTTGATTGATCGAAACAAGTATGTTAATCCAAGTGGACACATTCTAGACCTGTAGATTGAGCCTCACATACTTGTGTGTTGCGTTCATGTCGAGTCAGTAAGTGCTGGTCACAGGGGAAACAATGCACACAGTGAAACTTCAGCTCAGTATTCACATGAATTCCATCAATTTGAAAGATATTGCATATCCCCATGTTCGTCCAATCCCAACGTGGAATGCAGATGCAGCATGTACAGTATTATTTTTATAGAGGCAGAAGGATTCAAGGATTCAAAGCTTGTGTGATGTCTTGACAGGTTATGCATAATAGCTAGAGTTGATGGAAAAATCTCAAATTCACGGCCCCACAAACATTGAAACAAACATTACAATAAACTTAAAGGGGCCCGATTATGCTCTTTGGGGTTTTCCCGTTCCTGTAGTGTGTTATTTAGTTTTTGGCCGTGTATGTGTTCGGCAAAGGCTAAAATCCCGATGTTCCCTCCAGAGGGAGTTTCTCTCCTCTCCCCCCCTGCTTGAAATGCCTTAATTGGACTCCTCTGTTTACTTCCGTAACATAATGACATCACTATGTAACTCGCTGTTCTATTGGCTAGCACTTCAACACATTGTATGTGATAGGCTAAGGGTCGGGACATCTCTAAGCAGTTGACCAATCACAACACAGCCAGTCGGCTAACCAATCAGAGCAGACTGGGCTCTGGTTTCAGACAGAGGGTGAAAAGAGGTGCTGCAGCACAGGCAGTATGAGAAAAATAAAGAGATTTTTGAACATTAAAGCATGGAGACATGTCCCAGTAGAGACACTACATACTGATACTGTGTGAACCTGGAAATGAGCATAATATGTCAGTAGAAAGAGATTTGGGGTTAAGTAGAAGGATGGCTTGGATTCAGCCTTGGGGTCCTCCCTGACCTCCTGCTCCCTACTTCTCATTTATTCACTCTGTTGTCCTGACCCTGTTGACATCCCATCAATTATCAGCTTCAATGATTTATTCTTGCAGAGAGATTTAGTGTAGGAGCTCCTCTATTGTCTATATACAGTACACATCGGATTAGTACAAATGGCTCCATCACGGCAAGCATAAATAATGCACAAATGTTACTTTCCTCGACCGGCGGACCATTCAGCCGGAAGATAATGAACCCATTTGTCAAACATGGTGCTGTATGTGTGTGCTAATTCCAGCAACAACCTCAGGATTTGATAATAGATTGCCCTTTATTCAGAACATAATTAGTATTCATAGCGAGGCGACTATACACTCTGAATACAGTGAGGATAATGCAGTCCGGAGTGGAAAATGAAATTGTTGAGGTTAGTGTTAATGGCTGCCACAAGCTGCACAGGGTGAATGTGTGAAGAAGAAGAGGCTGGACTATGACCTGACACGGATGTTTACAGAGTGAGGTGTTGCACCTCTCCGGGCTCATCTGAGGTGATGATTCACAGCGTGTGGGAGGTGTTTTATTATGAGCATCATTACAGGCATTAGTTTTGAGTAAAGACATACACTCACACAGTAGTATTTGTGTGTGTGTGTGTGTGTGTGTGTGTGTGTGTGTGTGTGTGTGTGTGTGTGTGTGTGTGTGTGTGTGTGTGTGTGTGTGTGTGTGTGTGTGCTC